ACCGAACGGATCTTGGTGAATTTTGGATATGTGGTTCACCCAGATCCCCCGGTTCCAAGGATATACTTGGGGTTATTGTATGTTTTGGGGTCCCTGTGATGTGTTTTGTGAAACTGTATTTCTCTGTCTGTGATAATTAGATTACCAATTGTGTTCAGTAATCATATCACAGGCAGAGGGGAGGATTTTGTGTGGGAGTGTCTGTGTGTATTGTACAGATTGATTGGTTGTTCTGTAAAACCCTGTGGGCAGTACTAAATTTGTGGATTGGGAATAAAAGAGGCTGTATGTGCCAGTACAGTCAGTTCCTGCTTAACCCTCAAAGTGAAGTGTCGTCTCATTATTGGGGGAGGATTTATTGTATGCTGTTCCAGTTTGACTGCTAGGAGTGTAAACCCATCCACATGGTTTTTCCTATTCGGCTGTATACAACATTCATACAACATTCATATGCTTGAGAGCATTCATATGCTTCTCCGGTTCGGTGTCTGCTGCAGTGCTTGGAGTCCTCAGGAAGCACTAGGAGCATCCTTCAACGGAGGTACCCAATCGGGGTGCCAGGCGATCCGTTACACATAGGAAGATTCAAAGGGGAAAAATTCAATTAATTTATAATTCACCTCAGTATATATGACTAAAATGTTTGCTTATGAGCAAAATATGTAGTGGTGATAATTGAAACAATCCGCTTATGAGCAAAATATGTAGTGGTGATAATTTAAACAATCTAGTGGATGTCGCCATCAAAGGACTATCAGATAAAGGACACAGAAGGACATTTGATGCAAATGATGAATACTTTCAAAATGGTTGCAAAAGCACACCCAGTTTGCGCTTCCCAGTTTGCGCTTCCCAGTTTGCTTAGTTTAGGTAAATTGGTTTATAAACTTACTTCCAATGCATTACTTTGCCTCAACACATGCTACAATGATGTGTGGTGGGTGATAAAAAAAAAAGAACTGTGACAACCAAAAATGCAACCATGACCTAGATAGGCCAATGGGTAGATAAACATGCAAACAGACAGGCCAAATTTAGAAATAAAGATGAAGACAGAATTATTTTTAGTCAATAGACATATACAGTTGTGCTCAAAAGTGCGCATACCCTAGCAGAAATTGTGAAATTTGGCATTAATTTAGAAAATATGATCATGCAAAAAAAATATTTTATTGAAGGATATTGATCATGTGAAGCCATTTATTATCACATAGTTGTTTAGATCCATTTTAAATCATAATGATAACAGAAATCACCCAGTTGGCCCAGATCAAAAGTTTACATACCCTTGAGAGATGACACACACAGGTCAAAATGGCAATTAACAGTAATTTTTCCCACACCTGTGGCTATTTAAATTGCAAATAGTGTCTGTGTATAAATAGTCTATGAGTTTCTTAGCTCTTACTTGGATGCACAGAGCAGGCTAGATACAGAGCCATGGGGAGCAGAAAAGAACTGTCAAAAGACCTGTTTAACAAGGTAATGTAACTTTATAAAGATGGAAAAGGATATAAAGAGATATCCAAAGCTTTGAAAATGCCAGTCACTACTGTTCAATCACTTATTAAGACGTGAACAATTTGAGGATCTTTTGATACCAAGCCAAGGTCAGGTAGACCAAGAAAGATTTCAGCCACAACTGCCAGAAGAATTGTTCGGGATACAAAGAAAAACTCACAGCTAACCTCAGGAGAAATACAGGCTTCTCTAGAAAAAGACGTTGTGGTTGTTTTAAGGAGCACAATACGACAAAACAACCACAACATCTGATACTTGAACAAAAATTAGCTGCATGGTCGATTTGCCGGAAAGAAGCTTTTACTGCACCAATGCCACAAAGAAGCCCAGTTACAATATGCCCGACAACACCTTGACATGCCTCACAGCTTCTGGCACAATGTCATATGGAGTGACAAGACCAAAATAGAGCTCTATGGTTTCAACCATAAGCGCTATGTTTGGAGAGGTGTCAACAAGGCCTATAGTGAAAAGAATACCATCCCCACTGTGAAGCATGGTGGTGGCTTACTGATGTATTCTGGGTGTGTGAGCTCTAAAGACATGGTGAATCTTGTGAAAATTGATGGCAAAAAGAATGCAGCATGTTATCAGAAAATACTGGCAAACAATTTGCATTCTTCTGCACGAAGGCTGCACATGGGAAACTCTTGGACTTTCCAGCATGACAATGACCGTAAGCACAAGGCCAAGTTGACCCTCCGGTGGTTAAAGCAAAAAAATTTGAAGTTTCTGGAGTGGCCGCCACAATCTCCTGACCTTAATATCAACGAGCCACTCTGGGGAGATCTCAAATGACTTTGCATGACCTGGAGGCATTTTGCCAAGATGAATGGGCAGCTATACCAACTGCAATAATTAGGGGCCTCATAGACAACTATTACAAAAGACTGCACACTATCATTGATGCTAAGGGGGGAATACACAGTATTAAGAACTAAGAGTATGCAGACTTTTCCACAGGGGTCATTTCATTTTTTTTATTTGTTTCCATGTTTTGTTTTTTTCTTGTGCCATTCTGTTAAAACCTACAGTTGAATATCAGCATAGACAAAACAAAAATGATGCAGATATGTACATATGCAAACACAGAGTGGGCACTGGTAATTTAATAGAAAGATACGTCAATGTGAAAGAGATGTAACCTCAATCTATATAAGATATACACTGATATCTGCATAGCCCACAAAACATGTGTGGTTCACAGAGCTTAAAGTAGGAATGGCTAAAGAGAAACACCCATATGTTATAAAACTAAACTCCTATAATAACTGAGACAGCATCATGCATGGAAGTTTATATTTGGGAATCACTGCTTTGTACAGAGAAATTTCCTCACAACCAGTGGGGACCTGGGGTAAATTCATATACTGGTAGAAGAAATCTCTTACAGCTATTATGCCGTCAGGCAGTATGTGTGGGGTCTATATGTACTATATATTGGCTTATCATGCCATATCCTGGTAAGCAATGCTGCTCTCTGCATCCAGAACAGAGCTGTGACAGAACCCAAGATAGACTGCTCCTTATTTCAACTACAATCCTAGTTCAACATGGATGTGGTCCTTTCACCCACCCACCCCAGAAATGTATGTTAAGGAAAAGGGCCCTCAAAAGAGTTTGCAGAGGCCTCACCGAGGCTTGCTATATAAGTGTATAAACAAACATGTGGACAAATTCCCTGTCTAAATACAGAATACAGAAAAAGATAGTCTTACATACATGCACACATATACGTCTAGAGAGTTGTACAAGAAAGTAAATTTATACCTATGGACAGGCAGGCCAAACTAACAAATAAACCAATATTAGATAATCTGAATAAAATACCGTATTTATCGGCGTATAACACGCACCTCATTTTAAGAAGGAAATATCAGAAAAAAAACACTTAAATTTCAAATAAAGAACTTCTTACCCCCTTCTTACTCCCTCCTTCCCCTCTTCTTACCTCCCTTTCTTACTCCCCCCTCCCCTCCTCTTACTTCCCCCTCCCCCTCTTACCCCCTTACCCCTCCCCTCTTCTTACCCCCCTTTCTTACTCCCCCCTCCCCCTCTTCTTACCCCCTCCCCTCTTCTTACCCCTTCTTACTCCCCCCTCCCCTCTTCTTACTCCCCTTCCCCTCCTTCTTACCCCCTCCCTCTTCTTACCCTCCTCCCCCTCTATTTACCCCCTTCTTACCCCCCCTCCCCCCACTTCTTACTCCCCCCCCTCTTCTTACTCCCCCCCACTCTCTTTTTACACCCTCCCACTCTCTTTTTACCTGTCTAGTCTCCATCTCCATTACCTCCTACTAGCATGCAAGGACTCAATAGGTTGGAAAACATAGAACAAGCAATGATTTGTGATAGTAAAAGAATGAGGACAGAGTGAATCCAATGGTGTACATTAACAGCATTAGATGACACTACTTTCTCCATAGTAAAGCAAGAAGGGCACTTACACTGGCTATATCCATGCATTATGTGAATACACACCATACAATGAGACCGTTTATGGTCATTACTATAAATAATGTTTTGCTCTGTGTGATTGTACACACCGATTAGTTTTATACAATACTTACAAAGTGTATCTCATAGAGACTTGATGTTATTATTGCAGGTATGTTGGGCTGATCTGCAGGTTTGTCACTCTCTTTTTATCCCCCCCCCCACTCTCTTTTTACCCCCTCCCCTGTAGAGTGGCCGAGCTGCTCTGCTGTCCGCGGTGCCCAGCCGGAGTGATAGGAAGGTGCACGCTCAGTGTGCACCTTCCTCTCAGTCCGACCGGGTACAGGAAACAGAAACTTCTGTTCCGCGCGGAACAGGAGTTTCTGTTTCCTGTACCCGGTCGGACTGACAGGAAGGTGCACACTGAGCGTGCACCTTCCTATCACTCCGGCTGGGCACCGCGGACAGCAGAACAGCTCGGCCACGCTACAGGGGAGGGGAGGTGAGAACCAACTGCAGCCGCCTGACCGCTCTTGACAGAGCGCTCAGGCGGCTGCAGCATTTAAAGGTCCGGCGTATAACACGCACCCATAATTTGCCCCCTATTTTCAGGGAGAAAAAGTGCGTGTTATACGCCGATAAATACGGTAGTTATACATAGATATAAGACAAACAATGTAAATGGCTAAACAGACAGAATTAAAACACAGTATGTAAATATATCCCACACCCTCACCCAGAGTGTTTGATGTGGTTAAAATCTTTGTATCTGTTAAACTTAATAATGTACTGGAGTCAAGAGTAAAGGTGACATTGGATAGCCTCTAAAGCAACTTAGGCACCCAGAGGCGATCTTACTTTACATCCTTTGAGTGCACTTCTAACAGCACCGTTTTTTTGTTTTTTTTACTGTATTACATTATGCTGGCATTTCTTTTGTAGACCTACAGCTGCAACCCTTATATAACTTGTACTTTAGAATTAACATGCAGACAGACTTATCTTTTACTTTTTGTGCGCGCGAGGCAGCTGAAATAAATGAAGCCTTTGTTCGTTTAAAATCATTTTATTTATCAGCCATTGAACACAAAGTGGAAAGAAAACATTACAAATGTATCATTTACAGTATAAATAAATAGAAATCCCTGATCTGCTGAGGGTGAGGGCTGTGTTCTGCTTTATGTTTACGTCCTGCACCGTGTAACATTGCTTTGGATATATAAATCCCAGTTCAGTATCAGCATCACTGTGCTCTGTGAGGTTCCTAGTTCTGTATGGAGTTGACGTATTGCTCTGTGTATTTTATTCCTGTGAACTGGGCATAATTGTATGCAGAGCTCTGTATTTAACTCTGCTCTCTGTAATTCACTCTTGTTATTTCTAATTATTAAGCATAGTATTCTGCTGAACTAGTATACAGTGGGTAATTATAATAATTAGTAATTGAGATAGGACAAGTCAGGCATACAGAAACAAGATTTGATGAGGGGGCCTGCTGGTAGTGACTTACTGCTTTGTGTTTAATATAACACTCCTGTACTGTACATAATTGCTGCTGAGTATTGAACCACACTTTCTATTATACACTGATCTACATTCACTTGCATTCTATTATGCTCTTCTCTGTGTATAACAATCCTGTGTATAAATGAGCTCACTGCTGAATATTGAGTTACAATCTGTATATTACATTGCTCTTGGTATAACACTCGTCTGTAGGGTATACCTCTGCATTAAGTGCTGCGGATTTTTAGTTGTTCTCTCTGTTATGTAAATAGGTATAATTTTGCCTAACACTCCCCTATATTGTGTATAATTCAGAGGGTGTGTACAGTAAACCACTTTTTGTGTAACTTGCCTCTTTGTAGAAGGCTTATAGAAAAGCTCCAAGCACCATAACCACAACAGTCTGCTGTAGTTGTTATGGTTACAGGAGTACCCTAGGGATATCCCACAGTATATAGTCAGATTATTTTAGAATGGTTTGAAAACTTACCAAGTGCCCGTTGCCATTTGCCCTGCATTTGGCCTCCTTCTTTATGATAATAAGATTAACTCTACATAGGTAAGCAGGGTCATGGAGGACCATGCTCATTGACTGAGAATGTCAGCTTGGCACTGATAGCCAAAGACTGTGGTTCTGGATTGGCTGTGCTTAGCTGTATAAAATCATTCGGTTTCTCCCACAGGAGGTGCCCGGATAATGTGTGGCTTCCCCTGGGACTTGGGTAAGTTGCCAAACTGTTCTAAAATAGTTTGTCTTATAACCGTGGGATACAACCAGGGCACTCCTGGCACCATAACCACTACATCAACATGTAGCGGTTATGCATCTTTGAGTGTTCCATTGACATAACCATAACATAAAATATCTCTACACCACATATAAGATTGCTCTGTTTATAACCCAGTCTTCTCTTCATTAAAGCACATGTTCCCCATGTAATGTGATTTCCTTGAAATAATGTGCAGCATTGTACACATATTGCTCACACAAAGTGTTCTACATTAAATACTGATGTGGACAGTATAGCCCTGAGTGGAAAATGCACATACCCATAGCTTTTAACATTATTATAAAAGAGGCTTAACATATGAGCATTCCATTGGATTGGCAACAGCATTAACAATTACAAAATTAGCTCAGTGACTCATTCTTCAATTGTTATATAACTTGAACTAAAATAAAGTTTGCCAAACATGTTTATTAGTCTCTTCTTTGTGTCATGCAAATCTGCACGGGGAAGAAAATAAACCATTTATTGTGGAGAATTCCCTGGGGGATGGTGGTCAGATGGGCCAATTCCAACCAATGAGGACCCAGATTTATGTAGCAACCCAAAATGAAATATCACTGACATATAAACTGGTCTGTGAGGAATATCAGATATACACAATGTGTTACGTGGAATTCACAGCTACTCCCACTGCCCTGCATATTACATGCATGTGCACTGCTTTGCATATGTTCTAAATATATACTGTGCATGTATACATTTCAATAACAAACAGACACTAGTCAGTGTATAATACTAATATTTTTTTACATTTAGCAAAAACATAAAATATATACATATATATATATATATATATAATAAGGCCTGTAGTTGTGAGGGAGGGGATACCCATCAAATTTAAACTCAGGCAACCCCTCACCTGGGCCGATGCCATTCGTTTTTCATCCCACCCACCACTCCCTTTTTATTATATCACTACCCAGGTGAAACCCCTTTATTTACAGGCCTAACAGCAGATCGGTGTTGACACACCACAACCAACTTTGCCGATATCATGGATTTTGTCCCTAGCCACAAGTATATATATTTGTGGTCGGTAACATATAAGCTGTGCAATAACATTATTAATGGAACAAGTCGGTAGTGGTGGGCCGATACCGACGTAAGGATAGGCCAGTAATAAAAGAGGGCCCGCCAGGTAGAATGAGTTTAAAGGAGAAGGGTGAAGTGGATGGGATAAACTGGACGGCACGGCAAAGGTAAGTAGGGGGTGTGAGTTTTTATAGGAACGCTAAACTTCTCCCACAAATACAGGCCTTTGGCCTTTAAACATATATACATACAGACATTTTAAGATACTGGTTCCTTCATGTATATAACAGAAATACACTGCACAGTACATACACATTGATACATATACAAAGACAAAATAGCCCAATTGTAAAATTGACCAAGTGACCTATGCATCCACTTCAGCTACTAAGGGCTTAAATTTAAAAATCACTTTGAATTAATTTTAAACTATTGAGAATTATCACTCTAATTGAATAACCCTGACTGTGTGATGTGTATACTACTGATGTTCTGCTTTAAAGAGACACTATAAGAAGCAAAACTACTTTAGCTTAATGAATCAGTTGTGGTATATAGATCATGTCCCTGCAGTATCATTGATCAATTCTCTGCCATTTAAGAGGTAAATCACATTGTTATACAACCCTAGTAACACCTGCATGTGATTTGCACAGCCTCCCCCAAACACTTCCTGTAAAGCAAGATCTAATGTTTAAACTTCCTGTATAGCAGTCTGTTGAATTTACATTTTCTTATCTCCTGCTCTGTTAATAGCCTTCTAACCCTACAGGAGCCTCCTGTGTGGGATTAAATTTTAATTTACAGAGCCGGAGTTAAATACTTCTAAATAAAGTTAACATTTTCATGTTTTTCATACAGCCAGTGGAGGAATGGATAGAGCTGCATAAACAGAAACAAAAGTGATTTAACTTCTAAATGTTAGAGAAGTGAGCAGTGAGACTGGAGGGGCATGATATTTACAGCAAAACTGATTCATTAAACTATAGTGTCCCTTTAAGTTGAATAAAGGAATTTCAAGATCAATTTAAATTCCATTAACTGAAATGAACATAACCAATCACTTTCATTTATACCTTAGAACACCACGATGTGCCTCATCTAAAGCTTTGTGTCATTGAACGACTTGCTCTAAACATCACATTATAGGTGCATGGCTTCTTTTCAGAGAAAATTAGTTCTGGACACCTCTATTCTTCATGCAAGGCAGTTCATACAAATTACTGCCCTGAAATATATAGTATTCATGTGCTGTATAAAGGAAATAACTAGTAAATGTAATTCCTTTTGGATCACTCCTTGATTATAGTGATTTAGTTTATGCACCATAAGATTTCTGTGCTCTCCACCAGCACATGTTATGTTATGTATGTTATGTGTCCAAAAAGACATGTATATCAGGGTTATTTACTAAAGTGAAAATTCAAGGTGAATTTCAAGTTTAGTGGCTGAATTGAAAGCAGTGCTGTATTCGAGATATTTTTTCCAGTTTTGCTATTTGATCTTAAATTTTAAATTAACTTTGAATTCGAACTTTAGTAATATAGCCTTTATATTAATAGCATGTTTTTTTTCCAGGATGCATCACTGTATGTGTCAACATAACCCTATTTGCCCCTATAATGTTTATTCCTTGAGCACCTTTTGCAGAATGTGTGCCATTCTGGGGCTGAAAGTAAAGGTCAATGCAAATATATGCAACAGCATCTGATCTCAGTGCCCTGGCAGCACCTCCCCACTAATGTCAGAATGGCAGCACTTTTTTTCTGTTAGTCAGTGTTGTATGGAAAGTTATATAAAAAAAAAAATATGGGTAACATCCCATAGAATATCCCTTATAGTGACGTAGTAATTCTTTATGGATCATTACACCATAGTTAAGGCAATGCTTAGAAAACTAAGGTGCGCAGGTGAGGGGGTAGGCTAGGGTTAAGAGGCATTGTAACTAGTTAAGGGACCTAGGTTAGAGGGTGACACCTAGCTGACAGTAATACACGCTACATTCCACATTATCTGAAAGCAGGTGCCTTGTAACAAACCCCGTAACACTAACTACTGATAAGTCTACATTACAGGATAAACTGTATTATTAAAGCATTAGGTAAGCAGGGTACTAGATTTGCATTGATGCCTACCATTACAATGACACTATAATGCTGCTAAAGTCTTTTTCATGCAGCTTCATTATATTGTAGTTATAATGATGATAACCTTTTTAAAGGAACACTCCAAGCCCGCTGTAATGGTTATGGTGCCAGGAGAGAGCTGAAACTATCCAACAATAAATGGTCATACTATTTAAGAATGTTTGACATCTTACCTGGATCTCACTGGGCAGCCATCGCTGCTTCCCCTGGAGTAGGAAACCCATGCGAGTAGCCACCTTTAGCCTCTATGAGCTAAGCCCTGCAGTGTAAGTCCATGTCATTGACGGAGAACTCTCAGCCATTGGATGTGACTTTGCACTGCCAGACTTAGCTCAGTGGCAGAGCTTTTAGCAGCAGAGGAGGTGGCAAATGGTTCACTGCACACCTGAGGCTAGGTGTCAATTCATTCTTAAATGGATCGACTACTTACTGTGGAAGGATGACAGGCTACTCATACAGCGGACTGTAGTGGTTATGGTGCTTGGAGTATTTATGAAGTGATGTATTTTCTTATCCTCCATAACTTTCTTATCAAACATAAAGAACAGAGTCAGCTTAAAGAAGTGACATTTCTGACAGATCTTTTGAAAGTGATTCATACGATTAAGGTGGTTTAGGTTACTCTACACAGTACGTAGCATCATTATTTTATGTCAGGTTATTAAATCATGCTAGTAAAAATAAAAGACTTAGTTAGTAATTCTCAACCTCTTGTCATTCTACAAACAGCCTGTAACTGCAACCAGCCTGTAACTGTACAAACCCAATCTACACAGAGGTGTAGTGTCAGCTGTGGCATGTCAGGGTAGCCTAGTGGTCCTATGTGTTAAATACATCTTCCCAGAATTCTCTGATTTCTGACTAAAGCCATGTTGTCCAATCCCTGCTTAGCCTGGTCAGCTGAAAGGAGCAGGCAACTTACAATGAAGCAAATCGGGGAATTCTTGAGATGTACATAACATATAATTAAAAACAAACTAAAAAGTTAAGCATTGTGATTCACAGCAGCAGACTAGAAGGGCTAATTGGTTGGTCTATTATTCAAAGACTTTAACTTATTTGCTCTCAGTTTAGAGCTTCAGCAATCTGCATTGCCCTCCAATGCATGCTTGTACCTTTCCAGCTGTCTCTGGCAGTGAGTAGGTTAAAATGTCAAATAGCACTGCATGAGAGGAACCGGGTTAAGTATTGCATTTCATTGGTGCGAAGGGCATAGGAAGTGGATGGACAGAGACATCTGCATTAGGCAGAGATCAGCTAATAATGGTTAACCTTCGACCGCTGGATGTTTTGTAAACAACATTTAATATAGTGCTCAACCTACATCCGAGGAAATACTAGCTCATAAACATAAGTAACCAAAAAAAGTCAGATAGACATACATACAGAGAGTGGTTGAATATTCACAGTAGAAGGCAAAAATTTAAAAACTTGAAAGTACAGAAGTACAGAGCAAGATGTAGAATACTGCCAAAAAAAAAAAGATTGGAAGACAAGTGAAATGGAACAGGCTGAGAAAACCAGAGGGTGTATTTACTAATCAGTGAATTGTAAATAATTTACATCTGAATTGCACATTCATTTCTGGTTAAAATAATCAATTTGTGACTATGGCCAGATTGGGAATTTTTACAACTCAGCCCAAATTGTGCAATTCAGTTTTCAATTCACTACAGTTTGATGGTTAGTGAATAATCCCCTAGGTTTCATTTGAAAATTATTTACAAAATTATAGGATCTAGGCACAGTGTGACCTCAATTGCACCAATGCCCTGAACTTAATCATAGACATAGAACATTCTAACCAGTATAAAGCCCCACACAACAAGAACACCAGTTGTACAAGTTCACAATTCTAGAATCCTTGCACCTACGAATCATTAAAACATATACCCAGCTGGAAGGTGTTTCTATCACTGTTCAGGGAAGGCCTTTCTCTGGCCCTCCCCCAGTAACCCAATGATAACAGTCAGTAACACTGCGAGGTTTAGTTTCACCTCCACATCGGGTACAGTACACAATACCCATTGCTAACATAATGACTAGAAAGACACACAAGGGTACCAGCAAGGCAACTATAAGCCATCGATTATCCCTTTTAATTCTGGATTCTTGTGGGAGAGGTGAAGCAGAAGTTTTAATAGGGGATATTGTCCCAGAGTACTTATGCAAAGGACTTTCTGATGAAAGTGTGGATAAAGCATCTTCTACTTCCAGCACCTCTGTGGTCGGATTAACTATGTTTTCCTTTACGGCCACTGTGGATTCCTTAATAATATCCCATGAAGCTTTGGTGGTGCCAGGTTCCGCTGTTGAAGATGTATCAGTGGTTATTTTAGACTCTAACAATGTGACAAAAGCTTCATTTTGTGTTATTGGATTTGATTCTGATGATAAACTGGCTGCCATGGTGGAAGATGTTAAATAAAGTCTAGAGGATGTTGTTTGGAAATTGGTTGTTTCTTTTTCTTGCCTAATTACCAATGATGTTTTTTGGACTGGCTGGGTAGTGGTGGAAGGTAAGTGATATCCTTCTGTCTCCAAGTCCACTAAGGAATTAGTAGTGCTATCCTGCTCATGCATAGTTGGGTCTGCATCAATGTATTCTTCCCTATTCAACCAAATTTCTTCAACAGACGATGTGGTTTTGACTTTGTCTATATTATCCCCTACAATGGTTCTATCTTCAGCCTTAACAATGTCAGTGGATTCCCATGTTCCCCGTCTCCCTCCATAAGTTGCACCTGCCTGCTCCCATTCCGTCTGAATGCTATCCACAAATCTACTGTCATCTTCATCCGGATAGGATTCATCCTCCCCTTCTTCTTCTGAAGTTGTCATAGGTAGATTAGGATTATAACTAGTTAGTTTGCAGTTTACACGATCACTATCCAATTCATAACCTTCACTACAGAAACATTCGAACCCTCCATCATAGTTAACACACATCTGCTGGCATACATGGGCAATGCGACACTCATCAACATCCACACAATGCCCGGGTTCATCTTCTGAGAGAGCAAAGCCAAGGTCGCAGGAGCAGACATAAGAGCCAGGTGTATTTTGACAAGCATGATCACAACGGTCATACTCTTCTTCACATTCATCAATATCGTCACAGTTATGTCCATCATTAGCTAACTGATATCCATTTGGGCATATGCACTGGTATCCCTTGCCCATCCCACTGTGGCTAACACATTGATACTGACATGGGCATCCTTGTTCTGATGTATGATCTTCATAGCTCATATCATCTACCGGCTCACATGAACGTCCATCAGGCTGGAGTAAATATCCCTCATGGCAAGAACAAACACCTCCTTCACACAGCTGCTGGCATCCTTGGCACTGCCTGGAAAAATGACGCTGACATAATGGCTCATCCATGTTCCAGCCCACAGTACCATCTTCCTTTAGCATACAGAGCACTGACATATCCTGTGGTTGTCCCTCACATGATACCATTGCCACTGTGCCAAAAGGGAGTTGATCAAGCCAGGTACCCTCGTAACCAAACGGTGCAGAATAACTAACAACTCTCTCTGCCAGTGCAGGACACATCCCTTGATAGCGGTATTTGCACACAAAACCTTCAACATTCAATGTGCAAGATCCTTCCAACCATTTAAAATCATCCTCTGGTTTCTCGTTGCCAAGACCTATAGCCACACATCGTGCTGCTGAGCAAGAGCTAGGTGATCCTACAGAAATAGCTTGGTGGGCCCAGTTAGTGAATGCTGTATCCTGGTCACCAGTTGTCCAAGTGAAGCCACGCAGAGGTTTCTGTGGTGCACATTGCCTAGGTTGTCGTTGTAGACCAATCCAAAACCTTTGTTTGTTTGTAAACCCATCACTACGTGAACTCACAGAGGAGGTAAGAAGTTGCTCAACCAGTGCAGCTTCCTGGGAATTTTTGATAGTGGCAAGGTTGCCACCTCTGTCACGGCATGCTCTCCAAGAGTCCAAGAAAGTATGACGACTGTGGAATACGGTATAGCATGCATCACCGGGCCCACATAGTGCATCCTGTTCCTTAAGTTCTCCAGAAGACAAGGAAACTAGTAAGTGGAGCATGAGTATGATGCAGAACATGGTCTTTCTCTTGGTCTGTAGGTAAATAAACTTGCTCTTTGTAGCACAATTAGCAAAGCTTGGATTGATATCTGAGCAGCAAATGTCAATGAAAATTGCTTTGCTGGCATGCGGTCACTGTGATCTTTTTTGTCAGAAATAGATGTCCTTTCTCTGGGGTCAGTGACACAGCCACTTACTCTCTTTATAACAAAATAGATTTGTCTTCAACTTGCTGTAGATGTGTTGGACTTTGCTTTACATCATTCATATCCTGAGATTTTTTCAATCTTTTTTATTCCAGCTCAGCTGCTGTGAGTGCTGTCTCTTGCTGTAGTTTTTTTTTTTATTCACAACTGAATTATTTCTTCTTGTCAGATGTCTTCTGCTGTATTCAGCTTTTGTGTTTCCCAGCTACGTTGGTTCTTAGTGTTATTTCAGGCCAGCCACTATTTTCTATTGCACAGTTTAGTGGCTTTCCTCTTCTTCAATTTCTCATTCTGTAGCTTGCAGTTTAGTCTCTGGTCTGGTGCTTTTCAGAGAGAAGGTTAGCCTAAACTGAATTGCTCTTTTTCTGTGCAGAGCCTCTGGATTTGGAAGGGAGGTCTCCATCTCCCACATGTTCTTTGAATGCTCCCTCCCCCTCGTCATCCTTGTATGGACAAAGTTTGTTTCTGTCTTTTCTTTCCTTTCTCTTTTCCTCTCTCCTGTTTTACTCCTGGTTTCAGACCCCTAGAGATTTAGAAAATATGTCTATCCTGGCAGAGAAAGGGAAAATGTGGAGGGAGGTGCAAGACAGAAAGGGAATAAGAGAGAGGGAAGGAAAAAATTTGTAAGATAGAATGGGATGCAAAAGGCAATACAGGGATACAGATACAAAGAACTGAGCTCTATAATAAATCATATTTCATGTAAGAAAAGAAAGACAGAGTTGAGGATTTACACACATTGCTAAGTGGATGAAGAGTATTTAACTGAAGGAATGCAAATGAGTGAATGTTTTTGAGAAATGAAACCGATAGACACATAGGGGTTTACACACTAAACAGTGAAATGTGGTGATTTAAAAGCTATATTTCCAAATTCAGACCAATAACCAAGCTGCATTTTTTTTAACTTGCCCAATTGGCATGGATATTTCTATTCAGCTTTTATCTCATCACAGATCTCTGTTTAGTGAATTTACCCCTGAATAATTTGAAGTGTATAAAGAGGACGCATTAAAGAAATTTAATTCAGGCGGATTAATGAACAAAGAAAAAAGGAAAATAAAATAAAATGTTTTTTAAAAAGTAAAATTATGTGGTTTATTTTCTAAACCAAGAATCGTCAAGAATTGACAAGGGAATTGCCAATTTAGAGCCAAAAAAAAAGTCAATGCAGAATATAAAGGAGTTAGAAATTTTTATTCCAATTATTACATTATTTTGGTCAAAGATGCAATTCCCTCAAATTAATGCTTGGTGAATAAACCCTTTAAGGCCAAAGTAGCATCTGGAAAAGCATGAACGAAATATGTTCTGTGAATAGAGAAAAGAAAAATGTCAGCAATTAGGATATGTCATATGAAAAGTGATAATAGTGGAATGAGTTCACAAGAGCAGGGCAAGGATGGGGTTAAGTGGGATTCTTCATAAATCTCTCTATTCTTTGTCCCATACCCTTTTGTGGAAAACTCAAATAATTCATTCTGATGTTTCTTTAGGATCCCTGGAGGAATTATACCTAGCATTACCTATAATTGTTTGCAGACCCAGAGCCCATGACACATGAGTCACATCAGAAGTCTTAATGATTGAAGAAAACTTGGCCACAAATACTCCCAAACTATGATCTCATAGCAGTGACATGTGTAACGAGTTACAGAGACATTCTCAAGAAGCAGCAATCCCCCACCACCCCCCCACGCAAAAAAAAAAAAGGATCACTGATAACAATGGGTTTACCGGTTCATGTTTACAAAAAAAGGGATATACTAGTACTGAGATAATTAATGGGTCGCAAGCAGGGATTCCTAGAATCAAATTGAAATACTGGACATGTAAGAGAAAAAAAATCTTAACCTAATTAATGCAGATGACATGGGATTTGTTTCTGTTAAATGACTACTCTAGGCTCCCAGACCACTTCAGCTTAATGAAGTGGTCTGGATGCCAGGTCCAGCTAGGGTTAACTGGAAGAGAAACTGGAAAAGAAACTGCTATGTTTATAAATGGGTTAATCCAGCCTCCAGTGGCTGTCTCATTGACAGCTGCTAGAGGCGTTTGCGTGCTTCTCACTGTGAAAATCACAGTGAGAAGATGCAAGCGTCCATAGGAGACTGGCTTTCCTATGAGACTGGCTGAATGCGCGCGCAGCTCCTGCCGCGCATGCGCATTCAGCCGAAGAGGAGGAGGAGAGCTCCCCGCCTGGCGCTGTAGAAAGGTAAGATTTTAACCCCTTCCTCTCCCCAGAGCCCGGCGGGAGGGGGTCCCTGAGGGTGGGGGCACCCTCAGGGCACTATACTGCCAGGAAAACAAGTATGTTTTCCTGGCACTATAGTGGTCCTTTAAAGTCACACCTATTCACCTACTGTTTCCATACATCAAACATGTTTTGTTAGAATTCATTGTTTGTCTTGTTTTACCTATTGTGTACAGTGCTTTGGAGCATGTTGCCACTTTTAAATAATTGCAATTATATGGATTTTTAATATTTAGCTTCAGATTATATTAATCAAGTCCCAGATTTTCAGCATCCAATTCCAGATATCACCTGGTCAGTTGCCACTTTTAAGGGTGTGTTATAGTTAAAAGGTTATTCCAAGCACCATGACCACTAAAGCGATTTTGAAGTGCTTGGGTGCCTGTAGTGCTTCATATACACATTTAATCCCTTTGTCATTGAGGAGTCATTAGTCAGAAGAGCGCTGGAACAGGAGACAAGAGTTCCGGGGTTGTTAATGTGAATTCTGTGCATATTGGAATCTGACGTCAGCAGGAAAAGCGTGCTGGAAACAGACATCCAATGGCGGCCCCCTCTCAATGCAGCCTGTATCCTCCCACCAGCCCGTCCTCTCCTTACATCCCTTCCCCTCCAGTGAGGGGGGTGACATCAGAGGAGGAGGATCGGGCTAAGGGAAGGTAAGTTTTAGCTTTAGTTTTTACTATGTTTGAGGGGAGGACCAGGAGCCACAGTGGCAAGAGACAGCCAATAGGCAAGCAACATTTACCCTAAATTCCTGTGGTCTATCAGTTTAGCTTTTTCCTCTCTGTACCCCTTAAGCATGTGTCTGTTACATTTCTTCACACATTATGTATGTCTCTTTTGCATCTTCTCTTCCACTAATGTCTCTTTTTCCATCTCCTCACCACCATTTATGCCCTATTCCCTAATTATATTTAGGGATCCCAACTCCAAAATAAAGCACATAAAGTATTAACTGGATATTCTGTGCCTAAAACCAAATTTATATTTGACAAATGCATATAAGAAGTGGTTTTATCAGAGTCCATACAGATGTTCAAACAGCTACTAGATGCATATTTGCAAAAACAGAATATTCAATGATATAATCTTTTAATGTAGGGTAATAACTGCTTGATCCAAGGATAAATCTGACTGCCATTCTGGGGTCAAGAAGGAATTTTTTCCCTAGCTTGTGGCAAAATTATGCTTCAAACTGGATTTTTTTGCGTTCTTTTGGATCAACAGCAAAAAACAAATGTGAGGTAGGCTGAACTTGATGGACGCAAGTCTCTTTTCAGCTATGTAACTATATAGAAATGTATGTATGTGCATATTTAGTCTCTGCTTGTAATATATTGTATTTGGATCTATGAGTATGGTGAGTGTAAACAGCTGTGTAAATGCATGCAGGGTTAAAGATAATGTTAGAAGTGATAAGGGTAAAGGAGGGTTTAGGTTAGAGAAGGATTAGAGTTATATTACATAATGTTAAGAAGATTAACAGACTGATAGAGTACAAAGGCTGTTTAGGGCTGTTTAGAGTTTAGGGTTAGAGTTCGGTAAAATGTAGTATTTAAATACATGAGGTGTTTCCTCTTTAAGAGGAGTTAAACATAAGACTAAGGTAAAGGGTTTATTTTTGGATTTAGGCTTTGAGTGCTGGAGTTTGAAGGCTTACAGTGAGGGGAAAAAGTATTTGATCCCCTGCCGATTTGGAACGTTTGCCCACTGACAAAGAAATGATCAGTCTATAATTGTAGCAGGAGGTGTATTTTAACAGTGAGAGACAGAATAACAAAAAAAAAATCCAGAAATACACATGTCAAAAAAGTTATAAATTGACTCCGGCTCCCGGCATCACTAACCGGCGCACGAGGGAGCTGAGCAGGAAGATTAGAGCTCCCTCGCTGCCTAGTCTGCCTGTCCGCCCCTTACCTTCCCACGCAGCAGCCCCACTGAACCCCAGGTAAGTAATCCACTTCAGCTCTCCCAGGGAGCAGGGCCGGACTGGGGATACAAAGCAGCCCTGGAAAAAAATATCTGCCAGCCCCATAAGTCATTGTGCTATGTAGGGTGTATATATATATATAGGCAATTGAAATAGTTGGCTGCACTCTCGGATTTCCTTAAAACGTAACTTTTATTGAAATATTTAAGAGAAGATCAACGTTTCAGTCCCTCTTGTGGACTTTCATCAGGATCATGATGAAAGTCCACAAGAGGGACTGAAACATTGATCTTCTCTTAAATATTTCAATAAAAGTTATGTTTTAAGGAAATCTGAGAGTGCAGCCAACTATTTCAATTGCCTGGACTGGAGCCCTGGTGATGCACCCGGTCACACAACTTTGAAGCCGGAGTGCAAGGTACAACAGCAAATATATATATATATATATATATATATATATATATATATTATTGATACATTTCTTCTTTCAGGGTAATTAAATTATACAGTAAAGCATACTCACACACAGACACAGACAATCTTACTGATGCACACAAATAGGCTCATTGGCAGACAATCTCAATGACAAACACAGACAAGGTTACTGGCACACACACAAATTTAGTACAGACAAAATCTGATGCACACACAAGCTTACTACAGACAGGCTCACTGTCACACACACACGCTCACTACAGACAAGCTCACTGATGCGCACACACTCTCCCTACAGACAAGCCCATTGACACACACATGCGCCCTACAGAAGAGCTCACTAACACACAGATTCACTACAGACAAGCTCACTGACACATACATGCTCACTACAGACAAGCTGACTGACACACACATGGTCACTACAGACAAGCTCACGATCACACTTATGCTTACTACAGACAAGCTCACTGTACACACATGCTCACCACAGACAGGCTCCAACACAACCATGCTCCTTACAGACAAGCTCACTAACACGTACACACACATATGATCCCTACAAACAAGCTCACTGATACACATACAAGCTCACTCACTAGCAGGCGCACACACACAGAGGCTCCCTCACTAGCAGATGCGCGCACACACACACACACACAGAAGCTTGCTCGCTCACTCACTAGCAGATGCACACACACACAAAGACATCCATACACAC